TGTAATAAAACTGTAATTGTAAAAATCTAAATAAAATGTAATTTGTAAAAAAAAAAAAAAAAAAAAGAAAAAAGACGTTTTGGAATTCTGTCAGGCAATAAAAATAATCAGTATTTTCAGTGGAGGGCTTGTGTTTAGGAAAATAAATACATAGAATCTCCTACTGTTGTAACACTGTTTTTCCATTTAATTCTATCAGTGTTTGCTTCATATATATTGGACTTCTGTTCTATGGTGTATATGTTTATAATTGTTGTATCTTCTTGAGAATTGGCCTTTTTATCAAAATATTTTGTCTTTGGTCTCCTAACAGTTTTTGACTTAAAAGTCTTATTTTGTCTGATTTTAGTATAATTACCTTTGTTTTCTTTTGGTTACTATTTGTTTGGAATATCTTTTCCTGTCCTTTCACTCTCAACGTATTTCTAGACCAAAAGTGAATCTCTGATAGAAAGCATGTAGTTGAATTTTTAAAAAGTATTCTGCCAATCTTTTGATAAGAGAGTTTATTCTATTTGCATTTAATATACCAATAAGGAAGGACTTCTGCCATTTTGCTATTTATTTCCTTAAAGAGTTTTTGTTTCTGAATTCTTCCATTACTGCCTTCTTTTATGTTTAGGATTTTTCATAATAATATGCTTTGACTCTCTTCACATTTCCTTTTTTATCTATATTCTATAAATATTTCCTTTGTGATCTATTTCAGTAAATTCTGGTAGCTTTTAATCTTTCAAGGAAATTGTCCCTTTTATCTGGGTTGTCAAATTTATTGGCATAAACTTGTTCATAACATTCTGTCATTCCTTTAACCTCTGTACAATCTATGAATGGTGTGATTTTTTTTTTCATCCTTTATAATGTTTTTTGGCTTCTTTTTCCTGATCAATTTGACTAGAAGTTTTATCAGTTTTATTGGTTTTCTTATAGAACCAACTTTTGGATTCATGGATTTTTGTTGTTGTTTTTCTGTTTTTAATTTCTGGTTTGAACTTTATTTTCTTTCTTCTACTTCTTTGGATTTAATATGCTGCTTTTTCTGTTGTCTTAATTTAGAAGCCTAAGTCATTGATTTTAGGTTACTTTTCTAATGTGAGCATTTAGTGCTATAAATGTTCCTATAAGTATTGCTTTAGTGGCATCATACAAATTTTAATGTTATGTTTTTCTTTTCATTTAAAATATTTAATTTAAAATACTTAGAACAATTTCATTATGATGTCTTTGAGTTTTTCTTCTTTTTTTGTTTTTTGCCAGCGGCTTATTGAACTTTTTTGATCTGTAGATTTATATTTTTCATCAAATTTGAAAAATTTCAGCCATTATTTCTTCAGATATATTTTTCCTCCCATCTCTCTTGTTTTTCATCAACTCCATTGTTTGCATATTAGGCTGCTTGAAGTTGTCCCACAGATGATTGATGGTCTCTCATTTTCTTTGAATCTTTTCTTTCTGCTTCCTTTTGGGTAGTTTCTATTGCTGTGTCATCACATTCACTGATGTTTTCCTCTTCAGCGTCTAATTTGCTGTTAATCCCATCCAGTGTATTTTTCATCTTAGACATTGCCATTTTTACCTTTTTTTTTTTTTTTTTTTTAGACAAGGTCTTGCTCTGTCACCCAGGCTGGAGTGCAGTGGTGCAAACATGGCTCATTGCAGCCCCTGTCTCTTATACACATCTAGATGTGTATAAGAGACAGGCTGTTAATCCCATCCAGTGTATTTTTCATCTTAGACATTGCCATTTTTACCTTTTTTTTTTTTTTTTTTTTTTTTTGAGACAGGGTGTTGCTGTGTTATCCAGGCTAGAGTGCAGTAGCACAACCATTGCTCATTTCAGCCTCGACCTTTCAGGTTCAAACCATCCTCGTACCTCAGCCTCCTGAGAAGCTGGGACTACAGGCACAAGCCACCATGCCTGGCTAATTTTAAAATTTTATTTTTGGCCGGGTGTGGTGGCTCACGCCTGTAATCCCCTTTGGGAGGCCTAGGCGGGCGGATCACGAGGTCAGGAGATTGAGACCATCCTGGCTAACATGGTGAAACCTTGTCTCTACTAAAAATACAAAAAATTAGTCAGGCGTGGTGGCGGGCGCTTGTAGTCCCAGCAGCTGGGGAGGCTGAGGCAGGAGAATGGCGTGACCCTGGGAGGCAGAGCTTGCTGTGAACCGAGATCGCTGCCACTACACTCCAGCCTGGGCGACACAGCAAGACTCTGTCTCAAAAAAGAAAAAAAAAATTTATTATTTATTTTGTCAAGACAAAGTCTCGCTATTTTGCCAGGGTTGGTCTTGAACTCCTGGCCTCAAGTGATCCTCCCACCTCAGCCTCTCAAAGGGTTGGAATTATAGGCATGAGCCACTGTGCCCAGCCCATTTTCATCTTTAGAAAGTTCTATTTGATCTTTTTTTATGTCACTCATGTCTACTTAACTTTTTGAACATGTGGTATATAGTTGTAACATCTGTGTCAGTACTGAGGTAGTTTTTAATTGATTGATTTTTCTCCTCTTGGACAAGACATATACTTCTGCTTCCATTAATATCTTTTGGTCTCCCATTCACATATATCTACTGTTGAGTTCATATTTGCTTTGGCCTTTTTCATGAAGGTTGTTTTAGTTAAAACTAGATAATATAATTAATGGAACCTTTGAAATAAGCAGTAAGTGCCACATGAAAATTTACCAGTGTGCCCAAAAAAAGATTCTTGCAAAGAAACTGAATTAAAGATCATATTAAAAATGCAAACACAAATGGACAAGAAAAAGCTGAGATGACAGTTCTTCTGTTTCTGTTGTGAGCTCCATGTTATCCACATAAAGAGATTGAAAAGACAGTTTAATCAAATTTGGTAAGAAACTGGCAAAATCAAATCTCTCAAAAAGACTCCCACTGCTGGAACCAATTAAGGCAAATTATCAGCCACTTACAAAAGAGAAGCATGGTGAAGAAGCAGTTTTAGCATGTGAGAGCTGAACAGCTCAATTGCTGCGTGTGAGATTCACTTGCTGCATGTGAGATTCACCAGAGGAACCTAGGGAAGATGACTGGGGACTTTAGGGGTCTGGATTTAGATTAGGTGCCCCTTCAGGCTACCTGTGTCTGTTAGCTTTGATGGCAAGACGACAGTGGGCAGTGTCTCCTGTGGATGGTATTGGTAAGTTTCAGATATAATATGTCAAAAGCATAACTTAGAGACATTGTTAGTTATTCACATGCAAATTATTCTTATGTCAGAGACAGTCATTAGACTGTTGACAACAAACATGCAAAACCAGGAAATAAGAAAAGAAAGAGGAGATGGGGTATGGGAAGAAAACACATACATTCTGGAAGTGGTGGGTTTCTTTTCTTGGGTAAACAAATTAGCTGATAGTTAGGAAAGATGTTTGTCTGCTCTTGAACATGTACCTGGGATTATTAAGAAAAAAAAATTAGTTATTTATATACTTCCTGAAAAACCTTGAGAATTTAACTGTAGAGTGTGCATGACAGAGGCTATCTCTGTGTAATGTCTGCCAGTGGCTATCATTTAGTACCTGCACCAAGTCAGAACCATTTTCCTTTTCTGAATTTTCTCAGGTTTTGTGCTTTTTTTTTTTAACTTTTTTCTTTTTAAAAGCAATAGGAAGAAAATGTAGATAATTTCATGTTTATGTAGATGGTTCCACTTTTAAAATGGTATGGTAGCTTCTTTATTTAGACCTGGTAAATAAAAGATTATTTAGCATGTGGGATTTTTTGTTTGTTTGACTGTGAAGAAATTTTATATTTAGGTTTTTCTTGGACTGTGTAATCAGCACTGTCCTTTTACTAATGGTTGCCCGTCATTCTAGGCTTTATCAACTCCTTTATCACCCCAGCTGAAAACACCAAACTTAAAAAAATATATATTTGGTATACAGAAAGACCTGGCATAATGCACATTTTGAATATGCATTTTTATTACCGAATTTGTATTTGTAATGGATCACCACAAGTCTTCCAAGAATTACGAATATATTTCCATATTGGTGACAGGTGTTCTATTAAGCATTTAGTATGTGAGGGTGCTGTTCATCTTAGTTGGTGCTGTTCTGAATTAATTGTGACAAGCTAATAAGATCTTTTGAAAGTTTCTTTCCAAGCTTCTTGAGCTAATGTTTTCCCTCTGGCCAGTGGGGTAGACTGAACTCTTTAAAGACCTGTGGGCAGTTGCTGTTCATTTAAGCCAGATGGCATGTGTCAACTCCTTTTCCTGGAAAGGGAGCGGTTTCTTTTTTGGCTGCTGTAATGAAGCCTTGTGTGACTTCTTATGAAACTCTTTTCTTTACATAAATTAGTACTTATAGAAGCTTTTCATAGAACTTTGGGCACTCCTCTTTCACTTATGAAGATTCTTAGATGGTTGTATATAAATGTTTTCATGTATAAATTCTTTTATTGAAGTTGTGCTGTAGCAGGTTATCATTGATTAGGTTATCACATAAAAATAGTATTTTTTTTTAGGATAAAAACAAAATAAAGAAATTATATGACAAAGAGTGAGGGACCCTTTTATATTTTTACTGGTTCCCCAAGCTGCTTACAGTCAAGATCTGAGTTAGTGGTTGGCTGACAGTGGACAGCACTCTTAACGGTAGCATGTGGATGCTTAGGGAGCCCCTGGAAGCTGCCATGATCCACGGTCAGTCATGCATAATCTTCATGTGAGCACTGTAATTGCAGCTCTTGACTTTTAGCTCGCAGAGTGAGTTATTACCTTAAACTGAATTTTGTTTTTCCTTTTTGGAAGAATGGAAGGTAGGTGAGTGAGTGAATTCTACAAGCATTTGATTTTTATTTATCCTGATTAAATCCTAAGATCCTGGATTTTATCTGCACATCCAGAATTCTAAGAATTTGGGGTGTGAACTGGGCATGTGATAAAGGTGACTTTTCTGTTTTCTGGTTTTCTTGGTAATGGATGTTAAAAGTCTGTTTTACTGGGAGACTTATCAAAATTTTCATTTCTTTAAGGTGTTGACTTTAAGGTGAAAACAATTTCAGTGGATGGAAATAAGGCTAAACTTGCAATATGGGTAAGAGCTTTTAAAATGTATTTTGAAAATATTAAACTTTACTTTTTAAGGATGCAGAAATTGATTTGTGTAGTGTTCTAGAGGTGGTGAATGAACAATTTGTATTAAATAACTTTTGGGAGATTTGATACTGATTAAAGGATAAACAGTAATATAATTGGGTAATTAGGCAGCTATGTTTTGTTTAAATTTTTACAATGCATAATTCTTTATGAATATTTCAAAACAGAACAGAATGTTAAAAAATCATCTCATCTGCCAAAGAGAATCATAATTGGATATGTTTCTTTAAGTTTTAAAAAGACCGTCTAGACTGAACTAACACTAAAGGTAATTGTTAAGGGGAGGAGGAATGACGTGATGTTTAGGAAAAATTTTATTTTTCTTGTTTGTTAGTATAGATATTTATAAAATTTGAGGTTTCAAACTTTGGGCTTATTTTTAATGCCTCGTTTTTCCTTACTGACTTCTTTTCATTTTCCTGTGAATCCAACCATTCTGATCCCCATTGCTGTACTAGCTAGACCTCCTCATGCTAGTGTCAGATAAGGTAGCATTAACTGTCAAAAATATCCAAGATGCTTAGTGTCTATGTTTGTCTCTCTGTGTGTCTCCCTTTTATCAGTCTATTTACCCATCTACATACCGATCTATCTATATCTGTCTATCTAAATATGATCGGTACTATATATACATATGTTAATTCTAAATATATACTGTTTTATATATCTAATTTCCACATATGCTCTGATAATTATACATATATGTTTGTAACATAAGAAATCATATTAGAACTGATCAGCAGTCATCAAATCGAGACATATTTCCACAAGATGGTTAAATGGTAAATGCTGTTTGTACATCAGTCACAGATTGAAAACAGCAAGTGTTCATGCATTGTATGATGTCATATTTCTTGGCATTCTCTGAATGGCACACTGTTTCTAATACACATTTATCCCCAAATAACAAATAACTGTGTAAGTGTGTTTAATGTTTTTATGTCAGTTTTTCCTAACATACACTACTTTAAATTTGTTAACTTGTTTGCCCCTTTCCCGCAAATATATTTAATATCAATCAGAACAGTAATGTCTAACAGAGAACAATTTGGAAAATGTTGGACTAGACTATGGTAAAATGTGTTGAACGATGTAAGAATGCTGGCTTTTTCCATACTAAAGTAGGGGCCTGATTTCCATATGCTTTTCGTGGTTGATTTATTATCCCTTTCCGTCCTTGCTGCTGCTTTGTGAAATATATAGAGTAGTATCTGAGGCTTGCTGGTTGCAGTGAGATTTTTCTCTCATAGTTTCATTTTGTTTTAAATTTACTTTCTAGTTCCTGCCTAATAAAAAGGCTGGCAGGTATTATTTAAGAGACATTTTTACCATAGGCCTATAAACATTCTTTAAAGAAGAGAGATTTTCCCCCTGGCTGTAAGAATAATACAGGGTCATTCTAAAAAGGATAATTGAGACAGTAAGACAGTAGTAGAGAAGAATGTCCATAAAAGTATACCACTGAGTACATTTTAGTGAGCATTCTTTAAAATATCTAGGGATATGTATACATACCACTATACATACGAGTATGTGAGTTTTCCAAAACAAAGAGATTATATCTTACATTTTTAAACCTGTTTGTCCTCCTTTCCTACCACCTCACCCCCACACACAGTATGTGCTGTATCCATTTAGATGGCCACCTAGTATTCCATTTCATAGCTGTACTTTAGTCAACCTTCAGTGAGAGATACTTACATTTTTGCCAGCTTTTCACAAAGATTAGAGCTCTTTGAGCATTCTGATTTATACGTCTGTGTGTACGTGTCCAGTTACTTTAAAATGTGTAGCTGGAAGTAGAAATAAATATGAAGTCTTAACATTAATGTACACCAAAAAGCCTTTTTTTCAGTTTATACTCCCACCAATTATATTTATATTCATTCTGCCACATCCTTATCTATACTGTTATCATTCTTTGTTTTTGCCTCTGAGTGTTGCTGTTTTACTTATATTTGCATTTCTTTTGATAAGAGATTTTTGCCTATTTATTGATCATTTTAAAAAATAAGTTTTCTTTTACATATTTTACCCATTTTATATGTTAGCATTCATCTTTTTTGTCATTAAAGTCTTTATATAATAAAAATATTAGCTCTTTGTCATGTGGTACAATTTTCTAATCTATCATTTGCCTTTAAAATCGTGTTTCAGTTGAATATATGTTTGTGTTCTTGTGTGTGTGTAATACTAACTGCCATATGCTACAGATTTTTTTTTCCAGTTTGTCATTTACCTTCCAATATTGTTAAGGATGAATATGGGGATGGGGAGGTGAAGAGGAGGTAAAGGATGTTCTTGTCATACCAAGGTTTTAATGTTTATATGGTTAGATTAGCTATTTTCATCATGGCATTTGGGTGTAATGTATTTAGGAAGGCCTTTCCTCTCTATTAGAAATATATGAATCCATATTGCCTAATTCTTCTATAGTTTTATTTATAAAATAAAATGAGTTTCTCTCCTACTTGGAAGCTTTTTCTAGGATGAAATGGAATAGTTAAGCATAGCCCTGCCCCTCCTGCCTCCTGAAAGTGCATACGCACCATGACCTTGTTTTCTTCTACTGCCTTTTTCTATGTCCTTACTTCACTTTCACTCCCTCCATCTATTATTAAGCCTTTCTAGATCTTTCCTAGCCCTGAATTTCCTAGCCCTGATCTATATATCTTTCAGTAATTTCTTCTCTTCTTCCTCCATCAGAAAATAAAACCACAGGATAGAGACAAAAAGCTATACTTCATTTATCTTACAAAGATGTTATTATACCTACCACATATTCCTGTTTTGAAAACAAACACAAGCAACAATCTAACTTCTATTTAAGCATATACACTTTATAGTTACTATAAATCCTGATCCAATGCTATTGCACATGGTTCCCTCCACCCTCTAAATTATAACACCTATTTAAACATTTTTATAAGTGAATCCAAAAATGGCAAGGCTCTAAACATCTGGCCTAATTATTAATAAATATTCACAAGCAAAGTTTCAAAGTCAAGTGTAGTATTTCAACATTAAAACTTTCTTGCTATGGTTTTTACTTTTAAAACATCGGGATTTATGGATATTTTAACTGGAATTGCAGTTCTGATTTTTATGTTGTGTTTCATTAAGGCAGTTTTTGAAGTTGATCTCAATGAAGACCAGAGAGAACAAATTTCATGTTCACTTGTTTTTCTGCCAGCTCTGGAACTTATGGACACAGTTTCCATATGCAAATAGAATAAACTTTTTTCCTGTTATCACAAAGTCTTGGGGCTAAAATATTTCATACTTGGTCTTTGCCCCAAACTATTTGTTATGAGTATAGAACAGTGTTCCATGTATGGAAAAATAGCTGCTGCTTAAATTTCCAAATTCACTAATTCACTGTTCCAAACCCAAGGCTTGTCTTTTCAATAATGGCTTTTCCTTCCTTTTTTCTTTCTTTCTCTCTAAAGAAGATAGTCTGTACTACTAAAAGTTAAATGCTTAACATGGTGCAATTCTCGAAGTTATAATGTATCTGGATACTGAATAATTTGAATATTACTAATTTGTCATTTTTTGCATATAAGCAAATCGCCAGGATACGTTCTCATAATGATTTGTCATTTTAAAATATACATTTTTTATTGAGTTTTTATGAATCAGATTGTGTGAAATAGGTACTAGTACAAGGCTATGAAGAGCATTTCTAGTTTCTTATTGTATATATTACCAATTGCTTCCTAAAAGCGGTGACACTTTTACTGATATACATAGTAATCATTTTACTATGATATGCATAGTAGTTATATCTTTTGGCTTCTAGTTGATTACTTTTTCTTTCCCTGCAAATTTGGGTTTTGATTACTTGAGCATAGTGATCAAAAAAGATCACTGGGCATCCATGTGCCATTTCATTAATGATTATTAGACTACAATATTGACTTGTCTCGTTACCAAAGTTATAATCTGCTTTAGATAGCAAGTTCACTTTGCTTTAAGCAGCTTTTAATTCATATTATTGTTCTTGAAAAGTTGAGTAAATACGCAAATTGAATGATTTTAAAATCCAAAGCAGGTTTTGTAAGAAACTTAAGAGGCAGCAAGAATTTTTGTAAAGAGAAAAATCATTTATTTTATAAATTTATCTGTTTAGAACATTTACTTTAAATCTGTTACTTCTTCACTTAAGCATGGCAGGGTGGGGATTAGTTTCTGTGGTGGTGAGAATCTGGAAGGAAAGGCATTCAAATTTATGTAAGTATATCTGTGGAAGAGTGGTGAATGTTCAAAGTGGTTTACATTGGAAAGTTACTTTCCTTTTAAGTTTCTCTTCTGGGGTTATAAATGACCGCAGATCCTCCCTACTGTGTTGCTGAAGCCCCTCAAGCCCCTGGTTTGAATTCCTCTCCAATCTTATAAACCTCTTACAGGTTATTCTAGCACTTTTTATATCTAGAGGAGCTTCTGCTTGTCCCATAGAAAACCCTCATTTACAGCAGTGGGACTGGTAGCTAAGTTGAGGTTTGATACATGTGTTTACTTTTACTTTTCTTTAGGTTACTTTACATCAGCAGACTGCAAACTTTTTCTTAAAGAGCCAGATAGGAAATAGTCCAATCCTGAAGTGGGCCATGTAGCAATACGTAAGCAAATAGGCCTGCTGTGTTTCAATAAAACTTTATTTAATAAAACAGGTGGTGGGCTGAGCTGCTTTGTATAATCTTAGGTACTTTGAATCCATAGTCCAAGGATAGTGGAAAGACAACAGAGAGAAGGAATTGGGCCCGGAGGTAAAGGCTTGTTAAATAGGTTCATTCTTTTTCTTTTTCTTTTTTTACTCAACAAATTCTGAGCAACTGTCTTTTTTCAAGAATTGCTCTCAGCACAACGGTTAAACTGGTGATTAAACAGATGAGTCCCTGCTTTATGAAATTTACATTTTCTACCTAGTGTACGTTGTTCATTAACCCTAACATGAGTCAGAAACAACATGTAATAAAGAATGGCTTGGTTATATGCATTCTCTCAAAAGGAGATACATAGAAAACACTTAAAAGAGCCCAACCTAAAAATCTGTTACCTAAAGTAAGACGTCCCCATAATTTTCTTCAAATCAGTGGTTCTCAGCCTTGATTCTACATTAAAAGCACCTGGTAAGATTTTTTTGAAAAATTCGTGTCATTACCTTAGACCGATTAAGCAGAAGTTTTTTGGAGGTTAGACTCAAGATTCCCAGAAAATTTCATTGTGCAGCTGGAGTTTAGAACCATGGGTTTCATTTCATGTATGATTAAAATCTTAAATTCAAAACAGCAGAAAACCTTTACATAGTTTCATTTTTCTAGAGATCAGTAATTATAAGTAATTTTATTTTGTGACACTTGTCAGTAAGTGAACACATCTTATTTAAGTTCCAGTTTTTTAATGAGCTCATGCATTAATACTATTTTTAATAATGCTATTTGACTTTCTACTCTTAAACTAGTATATTGAAGGTCTATTTATACTTTGTTTAATTTAATAATAATGATCATTTTTAGGATACTGCTGGTCAAGAGAGGTTTAGAACATTAACTCCCAGCTATTATAGAGGTGCACAGGGTGTTATATTAGGTAAGTGTTTACTTTAATTAATTTAAAAATATTTATTGGAGTTTCTGATTTTCCTAGTCTGTGAAAGTTAGTGTGTTTTTGTTTTACTTCTCATTAGAGCTACTTTTATGTAACTTGTAGTTGTATTAACTTCATGTAATATTAATGAATATTAAAACTTCTGATTTTGGTCTTTTGTCTAGCACTTAAAAAATAAAGACAAGACTATTTGGTTTGAAAACACATGTCAATGAGAACGTAATTGAGGATTAATCAGCGTATGTTCGACTGTCTTGGAGTATTACGGAAACTGGGCTTCAGTCATCAGCATATTAATATTTGCTGCAGTTTATAAAGGATGAAAAGTATTTGTTGATTAGTAGAACCTGCTTTATTAGTCCTAAAAATATCACAAAGCACTTAACACTATTGATTTATAATCAAACAAAATTTAGAAACCAAATGTGGCTTCTCAGTGTAATTTGTTGAAAACTGCTTGTTCTTGATATTCCTGGGAAACAGTTTAAAATGAATATTGATCAATTGTATTAATAGGTAGAATTCTCTTTTTTTTAATATTATGGCTTGATAGTGACAGCCTTTTGGTTCAGCGTCTCTTGAGTTTGTAAAACACTTTAATAAGCTTTTTGTTGTAATGCAGAATGACATAAGATGAAAGTGATAACAGGAAGACCATTAGGAACCCATCCACTAACTGTACTACAATTTTTTCAAAGCTGTAAATTTTGGTTCTTGTAAGAAACAAATTAATGGGGTCATAGATGTTTACATTCATGTATTTTCTTTTCTTTTTTTTTTTTGATATTTTGCCACAGATTCAAATCTAAATACTCTGGTTTTTGGCTAGACCTCATTCATCATTATGAATGGGAACAGCTGTTATTTTGCTTTAATGGGTATTAAATGGGTTTTCACTTATTACACAGGATATAATTTCATTTCTGTGACAGTATATGTTAATAGGATTGAAATGTGTGTGTATGCTTTAAAACAAAACACTTGTTTCTTCCATTTGGATCAGTAGACACTCATTATTAATTGTTGGAGACAATAAAAAACAGACTTGCCTATATTGCTTAGTAATGCTAACTCCTAGCTACGTATCAGAAATATACCATTGCTTCTTTCTTTAATGCTTATTTAACAAATGACTCCTTTTATTTCAGTTTATGATGTCACAAGAAGAGACACATTTGTTAAACTGGATAATTGGTTAAATGAATTGGAAACATACTGTACAAGAAATGACATAGTAAACATGCTAGTTGGAAATAAAATCGATAAGGTAAGAAGGTAGACACTTGGCATTTTGGTTCTGTATTTTGGTAGCCTTTCTTAATCATTGCATTTATGTTTTAGGAAAATCGTGAAGTCGATAGAAATGAAGGCCTGAAATTTGCACGAAAGCATTCCATGTTATTTATAGGTAGGTGTGTGAGTGAATATCTATCCTTTCATTATTAATGAGGAATTTTTTAATGGAATTTTTGCTAAGTTTATTCCTTTATGAACCATAAAATGTATTTAGAGTATTGTTCCTAGTTGCCCTGTGTTACAAAATCTAACTATATAACAAGGTTCTTTATTCTTCTTTCTGTAAAATGTATGATCATATTATGTGAAATCATATTTTTAAAAAGTCAAATCATTCCTCACAGGATATAATGGCATTCAGTAAAGTTTGGCACCCAGTGCTAAAGTTGTGCCTTGCTGATCCATATGCTGATACCATCAGCACCACCTGGGAGCTTGTTAGCAGTGCTTCAGCTCAGGCCCTACCCCAGACTTTCTGAATTGGAATCTGCATTTTAACAAGCTCTTCATATGGTTTGTATGCACATTAATTTTTGAGAAACATGGTCCAGCAAGGGTTGCCAGACTACAGCCTGGTCCAAATCTGGCCTCACCATTTGTATTGGTACACAGCCATGTCCATGTGTTTACATGTTGTCTGTGGCTGCTTTTGTGCCATATGGCAGATTTTAGTAGTTACAACAGAGGCCATATGGCCCATGAAGCCTAAATATTTACTATCTGGCCCTTTACAGAAAAAGTTTGCCAACCCCTCATCTAGAAAATTGGATGAGCCATATCAGAATCACCTGGGCCCTGTGCCTTATTACAGGTTTGAAAGGCAGTTTATTAAAAAGCACTGTAGTTGATTCTGATGTGAAGCCAGCTTTAGGAATTACTGATTTAACCATTCCATGGCGTTAGAAACTACTAGGAATCTGCAAATGAAGCTGAGAGGACTTCATATATAGATAGAAGCAGAGTGGAATTAGTGGAAAGTATTGAGATTTTCAGAAAGGAATTGAGTACTTTTACTTGCTGTATATCCCTGATTTCCATACATTAGTTTACCCAATATTTATTGAACACTCGAGATGTAACAGTGGACAAAACAGACAAACTTTCTGCCCACATGGAGCTTATATTCTAGTAAGGGAGACAGACTTAAATAAGTAAGTAGTGCTATGAAGGAAATAAAACATTATAAGGGGAGGGAGAACGACTGGAATGGGGACTGATCAGGGAAAGTTCTTAGAGACTGTCCCATTTGAGCAGAAATCCCTCAGGTGAGGATCTAGAGCAAGCTTGTCCAGCCCACGGGCTGCATGTGGCCCAGGATGGCTTTGAATGTGACCCAACACAAATTTGTAAACTTTCTTAAAACATGAGATTTTGTGAGTTATTTTTTTAAGTTCCAGCTATCATTAGTGTTAGTGTATGTTATGTGTGGCCCAAGACTATTCTTCTAATGTGGCCCAGGGAAACCGAAAGACTGGACACTCCTAGTCTAGAGGGAGATCATCTCAGGCTGAGAGAAGAGCGAATATTTCCTGAGGTAGGAACCAGGCTAGTGTGTTAAAGGAACAGGAAGAAAGCGTGTGTACTGGAGCATAGTGTGTGTTAAGGAGAAGGCAGATGGTGAGAGATGCCATTCAAATGGTAAAGAGATGAATTGTGTTCCAGTTGTGGTGGAAAGCAGGGAAGCAGCGTGTGACCTGATACTCTAAAAAGATCCTGTTGTGTAGAAAATGGACTAGGGGAAACAGAAGCAAGAGACTAGTTCTTCTCTTGCGGTGGCTCAGATGAAGGAAGCAGTGGTTTGACTATGTAGCAGTAGAGGGTGGTGGAAAACTGGCAGTTCTGGGAGGTACAGTGAAGGTACAGCTGACAGGATTTGTGGGTGGATTGGGTATGGAGGATAAGAAAAGAGAGCAAGCAGGCGGGCGCGGTGGCTCATGCCTGTAATCCCAGCACTTTGGGAGGCCGAGGCAGGTGGATTACGAGGTCAAGAGATCGAGACCATCCTGGCTAACATGGTGAAACCCGGTCGCTACTAAAAATACAAAAAATTCACTGGGAGTGGTGGTGGGCGCCTGTAGTCCCAGCTACTGGGGAGGCTGAGGCAGGAGAATCGCTTGAACCTGGGAGGCATAGCTTGCAGTGAGCAAGATTGGGCCACTGCAGTCCAGCCTGGGCGACAGAGCGAGACTTCGTCTCAAAAAAGAAAAGAAAAGAAAAAAAAAGGAAAAAGAAAAGAGAGCAATCAGAGATAACTCCGGGTTTTAGGCATGAGCAGTGAGGTAGATTGTGCTGCCAATAATTGGGATGTGAAAGATTGAGATAAGAGCAAGTTTACGGTAGGGAAGTGAGAAATCAAGAATTTCACTTTGACATAAGAATGAGACATTTTTCTGATAAACGGTGGACGTGGTGGTCATTGGCATTTAGGTGGCATTTAAGATCACGTGATTAGATTGGTGACTTCAGGAAAGAATGTGGATAGAAAAGGGCTGAAGAACCCTGGGCAACCTAGTGAGACCTCATCTCCAAATAAAATCAGCTGTGTGTGGTGGCATGTGCCTGTGATTCCAGTTGCTCTGGAGGCTGAGGTGGGAGGATCACTTGAGCCTGGGAGTCCAGGGCTATAGTGGAGCTCCCACTGCACTCCAGCCTAGGTGACAGAGTGAGACACTCTCTTGGAAACGAAACAAAACGAAAAAAGAAAATGGCAGAAGATTGAACCCTGGGGTACTCCAGCAATTAGAGGTCCACAGAAAGAGGAAGTGCCAGCGAATAAGTCTACACATGACATGCCAATGAGATAGAGGATTTTCAGGATGTTCAGTGTCCTGGAAGTCAAGGGAACAACTTGTTTAAAAGAAGAAGTGATTAGCAGTATCAAATACCAAAGATGTCAAATCAAATTAGGATGTTGGATTTGACAAGATAAAGGGTGTTGGTGGTCTTGGAAAAGAATGATTTCAGTGGAGTGGTGGGAATGAAAGCCTAATTAGAGTAGTTTGAAGAAAGAATGTGAGATAAGAAGGTAGAAACAGCTTATGTGGATAACTCTTTAGAAGAGGTTTCAAAGAGAGTAGAGAAATGGGTGGCTATAAGAAGGGCATGTGGCGTAGAGAGCAAGTTTGTTTTTTAATAGGATGGAAAATAATTTGGCAGACTTTTAGGCTGATGGTATGATCCAATAGAGAGAGTGTTTGATCCTTCAGTGAATGAGAAGGGGTGGGACTCCAGGAACAAGAGAAGGTGATGGCTTGGATAGCAGCAGGGACAGTTCATCCGTTCTCACAGAAGGGAAGGCAGAGCATGAGGATACATATGCAGGTAACTTGGTAAATTTATTAGTGGGATGATCAGGTAGTTCTTGCCAGATTGCTTCTGATTTTCTCAGCATAATGCAGCTAGATTATTAGCTGTGATAGAGTTTTGAGAGGCAGGAATAAAGTCGTCATCTCAGACAATGAGAAAGATCACCACTAAGGAAATGTAGGGTTGGAAGCAGTGCTGAGTGTCCACTTGAGTTTCATGAGCAAACATTTGCTGTGGGACCAGTTTTCATGGTGGTTTGTCATTTTGTCCAGCTACCTGGAGCTGCCTGATTATTAACAGAATAATCAGGTTAATTGTATAACTTGTATGAATTTCCTTATTTTAAAATAGGAATAATATCTGCCTTGGGAGCAAGTTGTAAGAATTAACTGAAAGCTTAAGGAAAAAACTTTCACATGCTAGTTAAGTAGGGCTTTACAAGTTATACTTCTATCACAGTTTTAAGATTATAAACCAGTATTTTTTTGGTATAAATTTATACACTAGTATTCTTATGGATAGAATTTAACTCAGTTTTGAGATTTGGAAATTCAGTAGTTATTGACTGTGGGGAAAAATTGCTGATTTGGATCTTAATGTATTATAGGCTGATATTTATGCCCTGATCGTTTCCCAGAAAAACATGAGAATATGGCCAGAAAGGAATATACTATGAATGACCTTTTTCCTTGAATTTCAGAGGCAAGTGCAAAAACCTGTGATGGTGTACAATGTGCCTTTGAAGAACTTGTTGAAAAGATCATTCAGACCCCTGGACTGTGGGAAAGTGAGAACCAGAATAAAGGAGTCAAACTGTCACACAGGGAAGAAGGCCAAGGAGGAGGAGCCTGTGGTGGTTATTGTTCTGTGTTATAAACTCTGGGAAATTCCATCTCTTGCATATTTGATCAGATAGTGACATCTTTCTGTATATAAACTCTTTAACTGCTATTTTAGGGACCTTGCAGTTTGCACATAATTGTTTTATATCATAGCAGTAAATATTTGCAAGAAATCCCACTCATTGACCCCAGGTAAAATGTTATGGTAAGCATGCACAGTTTGCAGTCTACAGTTTTTTTATGTGGTACAAAATAGGTGTACCTTTATAAGTACATTCAATTTTATGATTTACATTTATCATATAATTTTTTTAAAAATCCACCTATCTAGTATATGTTGATACAAAGTCTGCTTTTGCTATTCTTTTTGCTTAAATACTCCTATCATTTTCTGAATTACTTGGTATGTAGAACTCCTAGACCCACGGAGAAGAATAGAGGTATCATGAAACGTGGCAAATTTTCTTTCAGGAATAATAAAGAGCATGATTCCACAGCTTTTCTAGGATGTTTGAGATTCTTTTTTAGTACGAAGCAAAATTCTCATTACAGAATGTAGCCCAGGCCAATTTATAACTAAATCTCTATTTGTTCTGATGATGCTTCTAAAACAGCATTGATAGGTTAAAGAAGCTTGGTACTTTTAATTTACTTCAATGATTAGCTCAGTTGCTTAACTGGAGTTTTAATCCTGTGATATGTACATTGGATTCATGACTCTGTGCAGCATTTTTAGTTATGTGGTGTTTGGCAGAATGACAATAAGGTTTTCCCCCATTTTGGTTTCAGGAGGACGTGAATAGTGTGTTTATTGTGACTCCTCGTACTAACCACTTTTAAAACCAACATCTTTTTTCATAAATGTTGGTAGTATTTGTCCAGGTACCTCAATTGTAGCTTGTGTAATGTTGATGAATATCTGTATCTTATGGCTTCCATAATGGCTAGTTGACGTTGAAAAACCTATTTCTGTGTTTTGAGGAGTGGGGAAGAAAAACACAGAGTGAAAATTTGAGAAAGGCATATTACTTTCAGATTCTGATGTGTGAGGGAAAATACTGTCACAATGAAAATCTTGACAATTCACTTAACAAGTAACCAATAGTTCATCAAAACCAACTTGTACAGACTAATACATCTTTTTCATAGTATTCAGTTTTCTCACCTCTTGCTATTGTATATTGTAGATTTTTTTCACTCATGTGTTATTTAATTTACACTGATCTCTGCTATTTTAACCCCCCAAGTAAGTTATTTGTCCTTTAAGGTTGGTTACTATAATACCCCTTAGTAAGATTCCAGTATTAATTTCTGGGCAGTTTGTTCTCTGTATACAATTGCAAATGATAAGCATTTTTGTGAGTGACCACCTTTGCAATATGTTTGTTAATTTACTTCATGTTGGGTTCTTTCTGAAATGTACATCTTTACATATAAAAACCTCACATTTATTTGATTTACACTTCCTAGTCTACATTACATGTGGTTGAAGGTTTTATACATTCTATATGCTTTTACTAAATATACAAGATTTACTACTAGAAATTTGGAGAAAGAACACTAACACAGGTACTTGTGATTTGTTCATGTTATATTAAAACTTGAGATTTGTGTATTTATGTAGAGTCTGTATTGACAAGACTGTTGTTTTTTGCTCCTTGAGCTATATAATCATCTGTGTATTGGATTGTTGTCTTGATTTGGTCTAAATTTGAATATATACAAGTTACTTGAATATAACAAAAATGAATTTTGTTTGATAGATTTATATTGTAACCTTTTTCTAGTTCTTGAATAAATATAGCCTACCTTCCCTAGATGGATTTGTGCAGGAAGTATATACATTTCCCTATTACTCTCATCAGCTGAGGAATATGTACTATGGTGTTACTGATATTATGTGGCTTTCATTTTATTATTTTGTTGCACGCTTAGTGTTTTGTAGTGGAGGTTTTGTAAGTGACAACAGTTGTAATATCTAAAGTCAGGCACCTAGTAGCAGGGTTTTGTTAATTCTTTTCAGAATCATTGAAGCAGTCTTAAAGGGTCTTTTGCAGATGGTACAAATTAGAACAATTAGAATGTAGTATTTTGAGTTCTGGGAGTACTGAGATTGACCCAAACAAATAAAGAACTATTCAATTTCTGAGTAACAGTTAACATTTATTGAAAGCTTCCTTGGTGCCAGGTGCCATTCTAAGTGCTGAATCATCTCATTAAACCTCACAGCAACCTGAATAGATTATCCTATTATGCCCATTTTAAAGGTGAGGACAACACTATGTAGGTATGTTGGGTAACCCCCAAAGATCACATAGCTACTCGGTCATTGAGCTGGATTCCAGTCATGGCATTTTTACGCCTGAGCCCATACTCTTCACCATCACTCGTTTTACAATGGGTGGTTACCAGCTTTTTGTAACACAACTGAGTTAAGGCAGGTCCACTATTTCTTTATCACTCTTTTGTTATATGTAATAGAAGTATTTCAGACTTTTTGGTTATAGAGTAAATCCCATGATGTAAACCTACCTCATAAGTCATGTGACATAAAAGTTAAGGTAGTGGAGTAGGTGATCTTATTTCTTTCATCTGCTCAGAGTGGAATGAAAATCCTGACTTAGAAAAGGTACAAAGTTAGGGACTTATGGTACATTCACTTTCTATGTGAGAACAGAAAGTATGGAAACAGTAATTTGCTCAAAACTGAAATCTGGGGGTGATGTTTTCATTTCATGTATTTGATGGCCATCCACAAACTCATACTTGGTGTTGGCATTCTAGTTGAGTGTTGTGGAAATAGACTTGATTTTGATTCATCGTAGTTTGCATAGTCAAGAAATAGACATGATTCTCTACTAAGGGTGGGACTAGCACCATAGCTCATGAAAGAATCCTTCTTACACCAGTACTTGTTCTGCCTGTGAGTTGGCACAGACTTACGCAATATTCATAGTCTATCTTTAAGTACAACTTAATGCATATTTTTTCTGTGTATTTTTTTCAAATGAACTCAACAATTCTTCATGTATTACAGATCAGAGATCCTCTCCATATTCAAGCATTATGCTTCTATTTCTTGGAGGTACATTTCACCAGTAATACTTAGGAAGTTATTTTGTCTTTCCTGTATTTCCCTAGTTAGGTATAGGAGTAAAAACATTATTCAGTTTTCAGAAGACATTGTTCTGACTCCGACCCTGCCTTGTATACTCTACTATATAGACTTCACCCTGGGTTCTGCCTAAACTATTGAAAGACGAGAATAAATAGACATAGATAGGCTAAGTCAAGACTAGGGACTAAGGAATATAGACTCACCCAGGTTTTTTTTTTTTTTTTTTTTTGATTTTTCTCTCCCCAAATGGGAACATCTATCATGCTGGAGGACTGCTGTGATGGGGCTTTACATTTTACTGTTTTGTTGCTAGCTTATTGTTTCGTATTTAGGAATCAGTCATGTTTCTGATTGTGGTATAAAGTTTGCTTAAGTGCCCCATAGTTAAAGCTATTCCATGTACGCAAACACACACACATATTTTGAATAGTCATGTGAGTGCCTGTTCTCAGTCTTGCCCCCTTTACCATTTCTCATACATATACAAGTTATTTATTGTTTATTTTTTTCCTCTTTTTTGACCGGAGAAGCAACAAATTACATAGTTTTATTTGTGTTTCTTTGATTACTAGTGAGCTTGAGTACTTTTAATATTTTATTGGATATGTTTGTGACCGACTTTAATTTCTTGTTCATGTGTGCTGTGGCTGCCCAATCCAGCACCTACTTCCTTCTCTCACCATACCCCCCCCCACCCCTGCAAAGAATCATGCATGTGGTTTGGGTGGCATTGTCACACCCTCGGCTTTCTAGATTAACCCAGTTACCTTTAAGCAGTGCCCCACTTCCCAGTAGCAATGGTTCAGGGGTAGGCACCTGACCCAGACCAGACTACTAAGATAAAGATGTTTGCCTAGGCTTTTTCAGGAGCTATTGAAGACATCTCCTTGGAGATAGTGTGCTGGGAGGAGTCACATTCTGAACTTGCTGCAGCTCATTTTTCTAATATAAAGGAACCAGCCTGAGGCAGTACCAAGAGAATGAGAGGGAGTCTGTTGGAGCCCTTGGGGACTTCTGGATCAAATTGGACCTGAATTGAGATCTATTTCTCAACTTTCACTTATGTGAGCCAATAAATTCCTTTTTTGTTGAAGGCAATTTGACTTGGATTTTCTTTTTTCTTGCAACCAAATATATGTTGTGTGAGAATGTGTGTCTTTTTCTTATTTACAGAGGTACTTGTACATCAGGTTAGTTACATCAATAATAGATTGATTATTTGCATAAGAAAGAAAAAAGTAAACCACTTGAAAAGCCACTACTTTTAAATAACTATTAACATTTTAGTGAGATTCCTTTTACATATTTCTTTATGGATATATACATAGAAAACTAAATGAGTTAACTTCATACATGCTATTTTAAGGACCTCTTGATTTATATGATGTGGTTTCTTTTCATTTCCTCTGTCACCCGAGCACGCCCTCTCATTCCTCTCCTCCCTGAGGTATCTGTTGCATCCTAGCACATGTGCTTTTTCTGCATTTCTCGATGTTTATATTCATATGCAAATACATATAGATACATATATATTTATATATAGTTACAATTTTCTTTACATTTAAATATATATTATAAATTGGAACCATCTGTATATTCATCTCTGCATGTTGTTTTTCTTTGTTTTTTTCTTTATTTTTTAGACACAGGCATTCGCTGTCTCCCAGGCAGGAGTGCAGTGGCATGATCACAGCTCACTGCAGCTTCGACCTTCCAGACCCAAATGATGTTCTCACCTCAGCTTCCCGAGTAGCTGGACTACAGGTGTGCACCACCATGCCTGGATAATTTTTTTAAACATCTTTTTGTACAAACAAGGTCTCCCTGTGTTGCCCAGGCTGGTCTCGAGCTCCTGGGCTTAAGCTATCCTGCCTTGGCCTCCTAAAGTGCTGGGATTACAGGCATGAGTCACTGCGCCTGGCTGCCTTTCTTTCCTAACAGTAGATTGTGAAAATCCCTCCAAGCCAATTTCTGTACATCTAAGATCCATTTCAGTGATGGTACAGTATTAAAATTCGAATGTGTCGGATACCACAATTTGTTCAACTATTTCTCTAGTAATGGGCAATTATCTTGTTTCTATTTTTTTGCTACTGTAGATAGTACCATGATAAATATCCTTGTACATATTTCCTTTTGTTAGATATCTATGAGTTGGATCCATAGATCAGACAATGCATTTTTTAAGTGTTGACATATTTTGTCAGTAGCTTCCCAAAGTCTATAATCTTTTACATTTCCACTAGTGTAATACCTATGAACATACCACTTTCCCTCTTTCCTACATTCCCCATCAGCCCTGAGGTGTTACCACGTTTTAGTTACTTCGATACTTATAAGGTGTAATTTTTTTTCAACTTTTATTTTAGAGTCAGGAGTACCTATACATGTTTGTTATAAAGGTATATTGTGTGATGCTGAGGTTTGGAATACAAATGAATCTTTCCCAGATAGTGAGTGTATATATATATTTTTGAGATAGAGTCTGACTCTGTCACCCAGGCTGGAGTGCAGTGGCGTGATCTCAGCTTACTGCAACCTCTGCATCCTGGGTTCAAACGATTCTTCTGCCTCAGCCTCCCGAGTAGCTGGGATTACAGGCATGTGCCACTATGCCTGACTAATTTTTATATTTTTAGTAGAGATGGGGTTTCACCATGTTGGCCAGGCTAATCTCGAACTCCTGACCTCAGGTGATCCGCCCCCCCTCGGCCTCCCAAAGTGCTGGGATTATAAGCAGGTGTAACTTCTGAGGTGTAACTTAGTTTGCATTTTCTGCAGTCGTTTTCATGTTTGTGGGCTTTTTTTTGAAGTGATTATTTATATCCTTTGCCAGTTTTTCTGTTCAGTTTTTTTGTGGTTTTATTATATGAGTTCTTTGTATACTACAGATATTAATCCAAATGTGTATGTTATAAGCATTTTTTTTCTAACAGCCTTTTAAAATTTTGTTTATGCTATATTTTCCTTACAATTTTTAAAAAAATGTTTTATCACTTCTGGGCTCCTCAACTCTTAGATTTGACATAGTTTCCTTAACCTCCTCTGAGATTTTTATTTTATTTTTTCTTTTAAAATCTTGAATAATTTGAAATTCACTTGTTTATGGCACAAGATAAGGAGCCATCTCATTCTTCTTCTTACATGTAGCCTGTTGTTCTGCACAAAACATGAAATAAACCTGCCTTTTCCTACTGAGCCGAAGTACCGCTATTGCCCTAGATGAAATTCCCATAAGTACTGTAATCTACTTTGACCTTCTATTTTAGGGGCTCTTAACCTTGAAAAGTAATGTATTTTAGTATAATTGGTTTTTCTTTAATTCTGTGTATTTTATGTTTTAAAAAACCTTCTTAAAATAGCTCTGCAGGTTTCATCAGACTGCCACAGGGGTTTGGTAAAGCAAAAGTCTTGATGGTGGCTTTAGATAACAGAAAACATAGTATATGGCTTGTAAGGCACATTCTTCTATGTGCTTATATTTTTTTCTTCACATGTGAATCTTCAAATGATCCCTTACCCATTTTTCCTTTTGGTAGGTCCTTTAAAAAATATTCATATGAAGGAGGTTTATTTCTTTTAATGGAATATGGTTACTAATCTTTTGTCATTAATATTTATTGCTGACATCTTCACCCAGTGACTTGTCTTTTGAATTTGCTTGAAGTTTTACATCCTTAAAAGTTTTAAAAACCAAAAATTTAATTCTTAATTAGTTTTTAGAATTCTAATTGGGATCACATGATATTCCTGCATTCATTGTGAGAAAACTGATAATTTAGTTACAAGACTTGCCATGAGGATACATGGGGTATCTTTCTTTATTCAGATTCTATAATGTTTTTAGTAGTTTATGGTTTTCTTCACATAGGACCTATACCTTCTTTATTAAAGTTATTCCTATGAATTTCATTTTGTCAGTGTGAGTGGAACATAGGTTTTCTTCGTTTCAGAAATCTGTGTAGTTGTCACTAATAAAAGCTATAGACTTTTCTAAGTTTATTGAGACACCTAATTAATTTCTTTCA